ACATTCAGCATTTCAAGGTGAATTTACAGAAATTCTGATTGTGGTATCCTGGGCTCAAATCAATGAGGTCCCATACGAACTGAGCTTTCTAGTTTTAACTTCAACTTGAGTGGACATCAGTCAATGCAATCCTTGAAGAAACTAAAATTTACAGAACTACCCACAGCTGTCAGCTGGGTCACATTGATTGAGATGAAAACAATAATAGAGAGATCAAATATCAGGTCAGTAACTGAGAGAAGGGGCCCTATGTAACAGGGTTCATATCGTGAGCTACTGAAGTTACTGAAGTGATGTAACCCCACTCTGAATGTTAGTGTGATTAACACTATGATAATTTGATAATATGATAATTTGCAGAATTATCCACTGTCTAGGCAGAAGCACTGTGCATGTTCAGAGCCCTCTACTGACAGGGTTTGAATTCTTGTAGGGGCAGGGAGAGCTGCATTCAACACACGCAACGCAACCCATGTCTACCCTGTGCAGTTTTCGCTGTGAATGGGTATTGGTATTACAGATAGTAAGAACTGCCATCTTACACACTGGAAAGCTAACACATAGTATCTGTTTATGAGGTAGACTCATTAAGAGCTGGCACCTGATGATTAAAACCTCTATGCTTAGGTGAATTGGTGAAGCAGGCTGAACTGTCTGAATTGAATCACTTTTTTCTAACTGGTTGTCTTTCAATTGTAATTGTAACATATCTACCCATTTGTAGTCAAAGAGAAAATGTGAACCCCTTTGAAAAGCTGGTGAATCATACAAGAGATTGATGCAAAGAAAACCTTTTGGACACTCTTGGTAGATGAAGGATACATCACATTGAAGATGATGACAGGGCCGTTCGCTTGTTGCTATGTGAGGACTGGTAAGCAGAGTTTAGAGAAGGACTGTACAAGACCATAGAGAAAAAGGATACAAAAGAGGTAAGTAACTCTTTTTATTTTAATAAGCTTCTTTGTCCCACAGGCCACCATGATGACATCTAAGCATCATTTGGAAACAGAACTTGGTGTTCCAGGCAAGAAAACATTTACAGCTTATCGATAGAAAGCAAAATAGTCAGAAACAGTTTGTGTATAAAAATATTGTGAGGTGCTACATATTAATTTCACTTTATAATATATAGAAAGACAAGAATCTAAGTTAGAAAGAGATTTCATGTTGGGAATTATCACCTGAAAACAAGACAGAGGAAAATCAAGAACAGATTTTGCAAATATAATATCATTGGCAAAAGCCTGCCAATATCTGTAGCCTGCAGAACAGATGAAGAAAGAAACAGCAGGCTACGCATTATCCACTGGCAAACCAACGAAAAGGCAGTTGATGATGATCATGATACTGCAGAACTGTAATGTTGTAAAGAAGGTTCTATAGACACAATTCATTTTGTTAAGTGCAAATATTAGTGCCTTAAGGGGCTCATATCCACCTATCACCCAACAATCCACTTTCTAACCACTGCTTCCACTGCTTGACCTGGCAATGGGACTCTTTTTCCCCAGTGTGTTTTTGGACTGTGGGAGGGAACTGGAGCACCCAAAGCACATA